ATTTACATCTTAATATAGTGAGCCTTTTTCTCAATAACCGCCAGTAAGCTATTATTAATTGATTTTTGTTATTTATTTTTATTTTAGCTGGTTCAACTTCTGATATAAAACTTTAATTGCTTCCCGTATGGCCGCTTTGCTGTCTTTGTTTGCCGCCTTCTTATAATTTCGTCTTCACAATGGATCATAGATCGTTTTCAGATCGAAACTTGACAGTTGCCATCTTGATAGTAAACATACGATCAAAAATATTCTGGGTAACTTTCTTTGCATAAATACACACTTCTCTTTGAAACTTTAAGAATGGGACTTGGGTACCATTCTAAGAAAGTATTGTCCATGAAACCGTAATAGTTAGCACAGTTCAGTTTAACTTTCCTTTCCTTTAAAGATCTATCGGTAGTTTGGTCGATAATTCCAGTCCGTATCATCACACTGCCTCCTCCTTGCTGGATTTTCTTGATCACAGGCACATCCTTTGGCCCATCCATCAAATTCGTCGCGTGTCACCCTATAGTCATCCGTGAAAGGACAATTTTCATGTCGTTTTTTTCTTTAGAAAAGTCAATTTTCATGTAGTTCGTGACCCAAATATTTGCTTTACTAAGAGGACGATATTTCATGACAGGTCCCAATTTGTGAAGCACTTTACACCTGGTATCCTTGACTTCCTCTATTCGATTCTGTTGAAAGATTTTAGCACTAACCAAATAAATAAATTAAAAACTGTCCACCCGCCAAAATAACAGAATAGAATATGGCAAGAAATCTAAACATTTGACGAATAGCTTTAATTATCTTCCCAGACCAAAACAAACCTAAGCAAATCACCCTCCAAATTTTTTACTACGTTAATAAAATATCAAAAAACGAAAAGAATAAATAATACAAAATGAAAATGAAAAACAAGTAAAATAAATTAATCCAAACAAATAAACAAATAAAAAAATAACCCACTCCCGTAAAAATAAACGCCAGAATAGATTACCCACAATGCACGACTGACCCATATATATAAACAGCTGAAGAAAAATCCAGCATTTGCGCCCAGCATGAAACAGGCTGTCGCCTCTGTTGACTTCAATGTTCACTTTTATATTTATACTTATATATATATATATATATAATATTTATTTAAACATGTTATAACATCACTACAAAAATAGCCATTTTGTTTTAACTCTTCGGGTGTTTGTAAAGTGTTGCAAGATCTTAGCACTAGCTCAATCTTTTTCCATTATTTCTTGGTCTCAACATAGTAATATTTTCAACAGCCCTCTTTATCATCCAATGATCTTTGCGAGGCTCCTTTTATATCCCCAATGTGCACATTCCCTCACTGAATAACTATTTTTTGTTTTTCTGCATTTGTTAGATGCTTCCCATTGACCATATTTCAACATACAGGGCTCGATAGATAAATTGTCTTATAAATTACGCAAAAAAAATGAAGATGACACTGATATCTCATTTTAACAGATATATTTAACAAAATTGCACAAAAATATCTTGAAATACCAAAGAGTAAATTTATTCAATAAAATCGCCATTGACTTCAACCACGGCATCCAGACGACGTCGGAATCTCCTGCAACTCTTATGGACGGTCTCCTTGTTTAAATTGAAGAATTGTTAGTACAATGATTCAAATAAACACATGACTGGGACACGGCACAGCGTCGTGGACCTCTCTGATTTGGGACCAGTTGCCTATGGATGCATTATCTGTTGCAGTTTTTTGGGTACCCTGCAAGTACTAGTGAGCTAGCCAAAATGAGCTGACTCATTTTATAGTCCACCAATAGAAGGGTTAACCAATCAGAAAGCTCAAAATATTCAATGCGACGTGTATAAAGGCAGCTATTTTGGGTTTTTGTTTCCCCTAAAATATCTCCACTGCCAACCTGATATTGAAGAGATTACGGACTTCACTGGATTCCATATTCAGAGACTACGGCAAACATGGTCAACATCACCGCCGGGACTTTAGACGACGACACAGTAGTAGGGATTTTATTACGCTAGGATTTTGTATTAATAACTGCTGTATTCTAATTCATTTTTTAATCATCTTTAACCAATACAATGCTCAAGAGACACTACTCGTGTTAGTGAATTACTGAATGATGTGTGTGTAACGTAAAAAGAGTAAATAAGTTTATGTGGAGGATAGACAACGAATGGGCCTACATTTATAGGGGTTAAGACAGTCAGTTAAGTGTCATACGTGATACACTCTTTCGATTCATGACTGACTAGACAGAACATTTTATCGCAGTTGGTTGTCGTTTCTTTCTTCAATCGTAATATTAACCGTTTCCTTATAAGTAAACATTTGGCATTCATTGGCCGAGTAGAAAATGTGACTCGAGTAACACTTTACTTCATTTCCTATCAATCGGGCTGGGATCAAAGTGTAGTATCTGTTCTTCTCATCTTATATCTTCAGTCATGAGATACATGCTTGAGCGATCATTTCTCTTTCGATTTATGACTGACTGGGTAGAACGTTTTCCCGCAGTAGGTTGCCGTTTCTTTCTGCGGTAGGCTGGTTGCCAACGAAGGATAAAAAAAATCGCTCTGTTCTGCTATTTAACCCATAGCTAGGGAGCTGGAGTTGAGAAAGTATTTGCGTGTAAGTGACTGCAACGGACCCGGCTCACCGATTTCTCACCCCAAGCCGATATCCGTTACACCACAACACACATCCATTAAGATTGTACTTTTCAAGAAAGCATCCGCGCGGGAGTCTGTTCTAAAGTAAAGTTTTCTGGGTCGAACATCATTCAACCAATAGAATATGTATGGAATTAAAATGATTCAACCCCTGTAAGGGTCTGAGTTGGTGCCACTAATCTATGGAGTTCGAATATTTGCCATGGAACTAGTGTTAAAATAACGATAGGTATGAGTTGTTGCGTCTGTGGGGTAGAAGATTACATTCCAACATAAAACCATACCCTAAATAGCTTATTATGGTCTAGAATGATGATGATATTTCATCATTCTATAATTAACCTTGTCCTCAGTGATGATAGAAAATAAGGGTATTTCATCTGCCCTCATCATTAAAAATAAACGACCCTTCCACCTCATGAGAGTCAGTAGAATAGAGTAGGGTACTCTATAGCAGTACTCAGTAGATTAGTAGACATGTAGAAGTAGTCAGTAGAAACATACATCTGCCAGCACATAGGAAGATAGAAAATAGACGATTTCAAACGCATCCTCACAAACGAAGTTCTCGGAATCAAACCATGTCAAACGCCATCCTCGCAAACAAAATTTTCGGAACCAAACCAAGTAAGCACTGACTTTTAAACAAAGACACACTGAAAACATTTTACACACACCATATCAATATTCTGTAATTCAAACCACAAAAAGAGAATACAAATTCTTGCTATTTATGTCAACAAGTGTCTCAATTTAATATTCTTTATGTTATATTGTCCTACGTTTATGCATTTTAATGTCTCATTAATATCAACCTCATTACAGTCAACAAATAATAACAACGGGATAAATAATATATCAACACTAATTTCCCTACCCTGTTGCAAGCTGATAAACTATGTTCAGTAGTTATTTATTAACAATTTAGAAACACTGAAAGCCAAATATGCGAACGCAAAACTGTTTAAACGCACCTAGTGTCATTTTGACAGAAAACCAACCGACAATTAAAAAATACTTATTTATAATTCCTGATAAACTCCAAAAGTGTCTCAGATGAATTGTTGGGACAGTAGCGTGTTTCTCATTTTTTATTTGTTAGAAAATAAGTACTTTTTGTGATAGGATAGAAAAGACGTATTATCTTCCTGACTGGTTAGAAAAGAAGTATTATCTTACTAATTGGTTAGAAAATAAGAATTCTTTATCTGATTGGTTAGAAAAGGAACGTTCCCTTACTGATTGGTTAGAAAATAAGTATTCTCTTTGTGATTGGTTAAAAAAGAAATATTCTCTTTCTGATTGGTTAGAAAGTAAATATTCTCTTTCTGATTGCTTAAAAGAATGTATTCCCTTTCTAATTGGTTATAAAATAAGTATTCTCTTTGTGATTGGCTAGAAAAGAGGTATTCTCATTCTGATTGCTTAAAAATATGTATTCTCTCTCTGATTGGTTAGAAAAGAAGCATTCTCTTTCCGATTGTTTAAAAAAATATGCATTCTCTTTCTCAATGTTATAAAATCGGACACATATAAATACAAAAACGTTACAAAAGAAAACGAGGAAAGAATAAAACCGCATCCACAGTAAACGGCAATACGAAAAGAAAATAATCAAATTCATCTGATCTATTTTCTTTCCGCTACCAGCAGGGATTGACTAAGAAATTAAAATAGTGTACACCTACTAAAATTTAAAAAAAACAGTACACTAGTATCAGTTATATGTTAACATAGGCATACCTCTAAATATTTCACACTGAGACCGAACAACCATCCATTTTGTTTACATAAATCCAGTGATTTCATCTCAAGGACTTTCAAGTTATAGTCAAGATATGCTCTACTCTGGGATCATATACGCACAATTTTTTCTTGCTGGTTATCTATTCTCTTTCCTGAATATTTAAAAATATGTATTCTCTTTCCTGATTGGGTAATACAGACGTATTCTCCTTTCTGATTGGTTTAGAAAAGAATTTATTCTTTTTTCTGATCATTTAAATATGATATCTAACAAAATTCAATTTCTTATGAACTGTGAACTTCTTTTTGCTCAGAATACTCGAACTAAACTTAGCGTAACGTTGTCTGCTACAATGCTTGCCAGAGATTGATAATGAAAATAGATAATTTCAGAAAACTGATAACCAATAAGAGATTTTCAGAGGCCAGACATGCATCCCATAATTTGCGTGAGTTTCATTTCCACTTTATAAATGATATTTTACTTGGAATGTGTTAATATCGCATGAAATTTCATAATTAAGCGCCATTCTTTGCATCGTTTATTTCTTGCAGGTAACATAACGTTCGCCCAACTAATGGAGGTTCTCCCTTTCAAGAACAACATAGACATCGTAGAAGTGTCTGGCAGCGTCCTTCTCACAATCCTGGAGCATTCTGTGAATGATTACAACCCACTGAAAAAACATGGCAAATTTCTACAATATTCAGGTTGGTCAAATCTTTGAATGTGTTCCTTTAAGCTTTTTCATCTTAATCTTTCCTTCAATCCTTTCGAGAGTTTCATATGGATGTAAAATGTGGTGCCAAAGTCACTCCTAAATATCAGAACTGTCAGACTGTTCGGTTGTACTCTCTTCCTACGGACGGGAGGAACCCGAAGGAGACTACACCGAAGGGCGGAGTCTTCTTCGGGGAGGTAAAACCGACCCTGAACCCGTTTATACAGGTTCAATGGGCATATTTTTGGCCGAGCCCAGGGGCTCGGACTGCCCACGTTAAAAAGGCCTTGTGCCACATGACACCCTCGTGGGGGGTGACTGAATATCGTCAGATGTATGCAACCGCTGTCTCATATCAATGGTTAAAATAGGCTTTGAGAAAATTGAAATCTGTAGGAATTATCAAGCACCATCCTTCTTCTGACGTTACAGAATCATAAACAGAAATTACCATATAACAGAAACGTTACGAATTATCAAGCACCATCCTTCTTCTGGCGTTACAGAATCATAAACAGAAATTACCATATAACAGAAACCAGATGTTTTTCAGCAGCAGCAACAACTTAAATGGATAGCAAAGATAACTCAGAGAGAAAATAATCATATAATCAAAAGGTTTACGTTCGCACTACTTGTGGTTTAATGAATGAGAAAACCAAGAATCAAATTCGAATTCCAGTCGGGACCATTACATTCACTTACGTGAACGTAGCCTTGGGAATGTTATGAACCCATTTCCTCCCCCAGATATGGATTAGATAGTTAGGAATTGTTTTTCTAAAAATATTGTTAATGCAGTATTCGCTCGCAAAAAAAAAATATTCTTACAATCCCAAACAATTTTCGGCTTGATAAATCGTAAAAACCAAAATCAATCAATCAATGAATCCTCACGATCCGTCAATACTGGAAAGAGCGATAACAGTTACTGGACTTTAAAAACCTATTTTCTTGAAACATGTTTGAAAAGGAAGACTGGGAGAAACTGCTTTAAGAGAAAAACTAGGTGATCACATTGAACGCCTCGAAACCAAACTAGTGACAATGCAACATCACTGAACGGACACTGGATTTCCATCTACGGTGATGGACAGGTGTTCTCTAAAGGAGACCCGTGACATGAGCGCTTATTGAGACTTGAGCACAACCCCGACCTCAAGTGGAACGCGTACATACGATCAATCGCTAAAGATTTAAGGTAAAATGGTCGGGTCTCTGTATCGCCCTTGTAAGTACACCTGCTATCCTCTGCCGTTACAAGAGCCAGATCAGGTTGAAAATGGATTACATTTTCTCTTTTTTCAAATCGGTATCACTCCATGCTAGACAGTAAAGCCACTAAGACACAAAAAGTTGCAGGGTATGGAAGAATTAGTAACAGAAACATTACTCATGAGTGGGAAGAGGAAAAAGTAAGCGGGAGGACAGTATATAGCGATTGACCTTGCATTTACATTATTTACATTATTCGGACTATTGTCCTCATCTTTGTCGCCATATTTATCACAACTGTGCCATGTGTCCTCAAGGACACATGGCACAGTGGATAAAGGCGTTACTTAGATCCAGTGTCAGGACCCAAAGAGAGTGAGTTCAATACCCGGTTAAGGCAGTGGAGAGCTTTCAGAGGGAAATTAACAGGAGATAACTGATAACTGACAGATGTTATTGACACCCATCAAACATGGCACGTGGAACTAGAACAGTCTACCCCAGTGAGCGAAATAAAGGGTTCAGTTCGACATTCCAACCACCTGAAGAAGGCCGGAGCGTACAACGGCCGAAACGTTGGGATAAATATGGCGACAAAGATGAGGACAATAGTCCGAATAATGTAAATAATGTACATAATACCTCATCTCAGAAATATAGACAGATACTGAAGAAGGCCGGAGCGTATGACGGCCGAAACGTTGTGATAAATATGGCGACAAAGATGAGGATAATAGTCCGAATAATGTAAATAATGTACATAATACCTCATCTCAGAAATATAGACAGATACTGAAGAAGGCCGGACCGTACAACGGCCGAAACGTTGTGATAAATATGGCGACAAAGATGAGGACAATAGTCCGAATAATGTAAATAATGTGCATAATACCTCATCTCAGAAATATAGACAGATACTGAAGAAGGCCGGAGCGTACAACGGCCGAAACGTTGTGGTAAATATGGCGACAAAGATGAGGACAATAGTCCGAATAATGTAAATAATGTACATAATACCTCATCTCAGAAATATAGACACACCTTGCATTTATAATTTTGCAGATTAAAATTTGGTTGGAAAGCTTGGAGCTGAAAGGGAGTTCCACAAGTGAGAAAATCAACTATTAGCATTAGAATTTACGGCTACATCCAGTCTCCTCAGGTGTAAATAGATGAGATCTCGACACCAGTCTAGTACTTATATACAAAAATCTATGTAGCATAGCGAAGAGCTCATACGAAGAAATTACCATGAAAGTTTTTACAGAAACGACACAGAGGCAACCTTACGGCGGTGGGAAAGTGAGTGAAGCCGAGTCGCCAGATCAGGACCAATAATATTGCTGATTCTTCTTTTGATTTTAAGGTGCTCAAGGTAAATCGCAAGGGCACCGGACTATGTGTGGCAGCAATATTCAAAGCATGGATGAAGGATAGACTTATAGATATGTGAGATCAATTCTAAAGAGAAACATTGCCAAGGACGACACAGTGAACTAAATTTCTTAGCAGCTGATCTAGCAATGGATTCAGTATAGTCTTTCGACTTAACGCCAACCGAGAATGTTAACCCAAGAAGGCCCAACGAGTCACTCTCCTGGAGGTTAGCATTAGCCATGGAAAGCAGAAAGAAGTCTCTCAGATCATGATTCTATTCTGTCTGTTAGCCTAATTCGTAAAAGTTGATTATTATTGTCTTATTATTGTTTCATATTTGTTTCGTTTCATCGACCTGATTTATATACAGGGTGGAAATAAAGTCACTATACAATTAATTATAATAAAAAAAAGCAAAACATTGAAGCAGGTGGCTTGTAGTTCGAAGACTATCGGTTATCAATTTACTATTGTTTACCATAGCATTTTATTATTATTAACCAGAATTAACCAGATTCATTCTAATAATAAATTTATAAAAAAGACATGAAAATATTATAGAAAAAGATACCGTGGAAAAGTGAGTGAAGCCGAACTGCCAAATCAGGACCAATACTTTTGCTGATTCTTCTTTGGATTTTATCAAGGAACTCAAGGTAACTGGCAGCAATATCCAAAGCATGCTTAATGGTAGACTTACAGATATGAAAGATCGATTCTAGAGAGAAACATTGCCAAGGACGACACAGTGAACTAAATTTCTTAGCAGCTGATCTAGCAATGGATTCAGTATAGTCTTTCCACTTAACGCCAACCGAGAAGGTTAACCCAAGAAGGTACAACGAGTCACTCTCCTGGAGGTTAGCATCAGCCATAAAAGGCAGAAAGAACTCTCAGATTATGATTCTATACTGTCTGTTGGCCTAATTCGTAAAAATTATGATTATTATTGTGTCTTTTTCATATTTGTTTCGTTTCACTGACCTGATTTATATACAGGGTGGCAATAAAGTCACTATACAGTTACTTATAATTAAATCTGTATTTTTTTCTCCATGTTGCTGCATTAATTTTGCTAAAGTTCCTGGTCTAATGGAGCCGGAAGAAAAGCTTCACCAACGTGAAGTCAGAGAAAAGAGACTGTTACGGTTACGTCAAGCCAATTCAAGTTACAATTGATGGTACATTGCTGTCAGTCCTGTACTGCGCTTAAATTCATAAAGAGTAGGTACTATAGCGAAGAATTCGCCCGAAATATTTCCATGAAAATATTTATAGAACAAGCACAGAGAAGCAAATTTACGGCGGTGGGAAAGTGACTGAAGCTGAAATACCAGGCCAAGACTAATAATATTGCTGATTCTTCTTTGGATTTTATCAAGAAACTCTAAATATACAGCAGAAGCACCGAATGTAGCAGCAATATTATAAGCATGCACGAATGGTAGACTTATAGATATGTAAGATCGATTCTGGAGAGAAACATTGCCCAGCACGACACAATAACTTAACTTTCTTAGCAGCTGATATAGTAATGAATTCAATATAGTGTTTCCACTTCATGTCAGTTGAAAATGTTAATCCGAGAAGTCGCAAATAGTGACTTGCCTTGAGGCTAGCATATATACACATGAACAGCCCAGTCTTCACTTTCCAGTATTGATAGGGTCCAAAAGCGTCTCCGTCTATTCTTCTTTCCATGAACAGCTACTTTGTGGAACCGACATACGGTTAATCGTTATCTTCTCCACCTATCCCCATAAACTCTGCCACTTACTCTGTAACCATCTACCTTGAGTGGCTCTTGGGTCTTTAACTAGAGGAACATTATTGAAAAAAAAGACTAGAAACTCACGACTAATCATGGAAGTTGTGGCAACACACATGCAAAACATCAGATGTATATATTTATATCGATTTATATCGTGGCCGAGTGGTTAGAACGTTAGCATTCTGACCATGAGTCCCGGGTTCGAATCTCACCATGGTCAATTTGTCAGGAAGGAGACTTCCTGATGCTATCGAACTGAAGGGGTCGATCCCAGCATGTGGCACCTTTGGAAAGTGCCTGAAAACCAGTAGACTGAACCCTTGGGGACCGTCGATAGGTATGCTAGCAGGGTTTGAGCGTACTGGCCTTGTTCAAATTGTTGATCATGCTGGATAACACGCTCTTCCCCAGAAACTGTAACTAAGGTATTCATAGCATAGTTGCAGTATAAACCACAGGTAGACTCTGTGGGTGTTGAACAAACAAAAATGCGCCTGAGGAAGCATCTGTAATAGCGATTGGCTAGCCGCCCTAGTAGACGCGCAGCCTCGAATAAGAGTGGCCAGCTATACATATATTACTAAGAACCACCTACTGGGAGAGATTTCTGCTTATAAAAATACAAT